AAACAATGATTTTGAACCTTTGAAATTAAACTTTCTCGAACCTTGCGCAGGCCCGCTCAAAAGTCATGTTAAGTAAGCTGCACCACATGTCGTGGCCCCTACACAGGTATCTATCTTTTCTTCCACTGTTACTTATAGTTGTGGCTTATCCATAATTAATTTGCCCATCGTCAAGTAAAACTGTGCAAACTCTTGCAATTCTTATAGTAGGAATCTTTGTTTATTACGAATCATTTTGGGTTGCGGGGCTTTTCAGCTTAGTGACAGATAGCTAAAAACACATTGCGCTTTTGATGTAACTGCAGTCCGAGACAAAAAGGTTTCCGGTACATTTTTTGACTCATTCGCAAGCTGCGAACCGGCACAATCGAAAAAAGCGTTTTTCTACTACACACTACTCTTTATAGGCGTTTTAAACCGTTACTCCTCTGCTCCGGGTGGCAGGAATTGCGCTTGTCTTTTTTTTTTGCAATTCCTGGAGATACGAAATATCAAAGTTCTTGCAACCGGAAATGCCTGTTTGCAACACTAAGATTTTTTAGTGAAATGCGTAAAACGCCATCAATTTATAAGTAAAAAAAAACCAATAGCCTGTTTTCACGAACAAAACCGACCTCCAGTCAGTCACCAAATCGCAGATGAGATCGTCAAAAATATACACAAGCGTGAAGCACAAGAGAGCACAGTCGTCAAAAACAATACTGTTAAATTTTGTCAGTTGGAAAAAAAGTTCGTCCACGTCGAGTAAAACATTTGATCCGGGCTGTGCAAAGAAAACTAGGCGCATAAAAAGACATCCATCTGCTCTCGCTAAAGTCAAAATCCCTTTCAAATTTACCCTCCACGAAGGATGGGGGCACTCAGAATTAGATGATAAACCGCCAATAGCAACCACTCACTGGCAAAGTTGTTAATGGCGCCCTCTCTCGAGATCTGCATAGAATTCGTTCACAACACATGTCAGTATCAATTCACCATCAAAACAAATGAAAGAATCTTAGAGGACGATCGGATCTGCTTGTATATTTGGAATAGAGCATCAAAATTGGCATATATATTTTTTTTAAATTACTTAAAAAATGCAGAATTAGAAAGCGAGTCTTGAAAAACGATGCCTGATCCTGTGAACAAATGGTTTTTTTGTGAAAGTGAAGCTAATGCTCGTCTAGGATACGCTAGCAACGCTTTTTTTACAAAATGGCAGAAACAATTTGCATTTGCTTCGGCCCTTTACGTGCAGTACAATATGCAAAAAGAACTCAATGCAGTAGAGCAGCTAGTAGAAAAAAAAATTATTTCTGATTATTAAATAAAAGAGCCATTTGTAAGAGGCTGTGCTAATGATTCTGGCTTCCAGCTGCAGACAAAGCTCTGTCCTTGTTTGTGGCTAAAAGATGAAACGCATCCTCATTTGGCTATTAAATAACTTATAATTTCTAATTTTCCGCCATAAAATTTTACTTTTCTGAAAAACGTACTGTTTACTTTTATAAAAAATTGCTAGCAGTACTGCAACTACAGCGTGCCGGAAGTGGACCTCTCGAAAATAAATACTAGCCGTTCTACTGCCCAGTAAATTCTAATTAACACGCTTAAAGCTAACAGAGCCGAAACTTAACATTTCATAACTAACAAAAGCTCGTTTGCATCCCAGATCTGTTTGAATACAATACATCAAAACTCTTGGTCCCGCTGAGCGGACATTGTGGATTAGCTGAACAGGCTGAAATGCTCCGGTGTCCACTCCATGTCAGTCGCAATAAGCATTGTTCGATTCCTGAAGGCCCCCGTCCGAGAAACTGCTTCGTAAGCGGTGTCCGGTATAACAGTAATCAACGAACATTGCTCAGTCAGCAGTTTCTGCAATAAGTCACAATTTCGTTGTAATAAAAAAAAGCAACTATAACTAGTCAAAGTAACGTGCGAAAAAACAGCAGTGCGCACTATGTTAGTCGGTGAAAATCATACGGTTTGGGCAGTTCCGTCCAGCGCACGTTTGCTGTTAAGAATTTTCACTGTTTTACACTTTGGAATGTGTGAAAAAATAGTCGATATGCAATCTTATTTCTAGGCTGCAAAATTTCCACTAAAAATTTCATATACCCGTGCCGAGACGTAAGCGTACTTGAAAGCTGAATTTGAAACCCTAGGCCTATATATGTAAAGGCTCAAGGTATATGATATATATATATATATATATATATATATATGTATATGAGATGTGATTTTTGACACTTTTTTTGAGCTAAAACAAATAAAAAATTATTAGCCAGAAGCAAAGGAGAGACCAAAACTAACTTCCAGTGCTTTTCTCCTGGATACAATTAAGCGTTGTAGGTGCTCAGTGAAATTGGGCACCATTTCAACATAAGGTGTCACGCCGCTCATTTTTAGTTCTACCAAACTGAGCGTAGCATTTGTTATTCGCACAGCCTCATCCTGCAAGCACATACATGTTTCTTCCAGCAATACGGTAGCTGGCTAATTCCTTTATTATCGTGTTTATTGGTGCAAGAGTTAAATGATTTTGTTAACGTAAACGAACGAAAATTTGCAAAAAAACTTATTACTAGGTTATTGCATTAAAAATATGATTATTCTTTGGCCCTAAAGACGTTTTTTCTCAACTTTTCTCCTTACTCAGTCCCACTCTCCTCACCCCTCCTCCCTTCTCGTCTCCCCACACTTCCATCTTCTACTTCCTATTTTGAAATATAACTCGTCCAAGCCGTTTTGATCCTCCTTACCTTTCTTTGACTTTTACAGTTGTTTTCTGAGCTTAATTTGTTGCAACGAAAGAAATCTCGAGGACCTGATCACTTCAACTACGGCTACTGACCTTCGCATTAAAAAGTCTTTTTTTTTGTACACTTACGTTTCTCTTGTTTTGTAACAGGAAGGATTCGGCGCTTTTCGTCAAAAAGTTGGAGGACGGCAGAGAGGGATGTGCAGCAGAAAAGGGAACGGGCGAGGGAAGAAATACGGAAGTGCGATACATTTCTCCATTCACTTATACACGTCACTAGAAATTCTTAACTCAGCTCTTAAAAAAACAGTACCTTTGAGACAAGATGTTCATTCAGAAAAGCATTGTTAATGCGAACTGTCAGGAGCCAGTCAAATTCCAGCACATTTACGTCCACTCCATCTTGCACATAACTCACTGTAACTTTTAAATTGAGGTCCAGTAGCATAAAGCCATCTCGAAGCGTAGCTACTGCTGGCGAGCGCATTTTGAGCAACATAGTTCCTGAAAAGTGCAAATTCATTTGCAATACGATTAAAATCAAGCTTGAGCTGCTGATGCCGTAACCATAAAACCGCTATATCCATGAAAATCTTCTCCGG